GCTGCCCCTTTGCATTTTGGGCTATGGTCCCCGTGCCTGATGGGAACAGAACAGTGTAGCGGGTGGTTCTGGATACATGTCATCAAGGTCCCATAATATACTCATCTCCTTCCTCTCCCCCTGCTTGAAAGCAATGGCAAACAATCTTTTCACACTCTTTTTCCTTGATTATCTGTGCAAATTCCATAGCAGGGTAAGCATAGAACCCAGCGTGCCAAAGTACTACTATGGTAGTCATGTTAATTACCTTGTGCCTTTATGCTGCAGTATGTCACCCTGTGTTGTGGTCACAGAAGACCCCTTGGGGCTGCTTCCCAGTATGTTGATAAAGCCACTGACACTCGCCACCTTGCTTTCTGAGGCATCCCTTTGCTTCCCCCTTCCAGCTCCTTCCTCCCAGGTATCCCCCTCCCCTCTCCCACCCTCACTCCTCCCTCCCCGCACCCCAGTTATGTAAAATAAAAAGAGCAATACAGACACTGAATCTTTCTAGGTCTGGGGCCAATGCAGTTTGGCCACAGCTTCCAGGAAACCTACTCCCCAAATAAATCATTCAGGTAAGCCCTCTTTAACAATTAAAGGAGGATGTACACACTGATTGCTCCCCCCAGGTAACAATTATTTAAAATGGACTTTATAGTAAATAAAGGTATTTATTAAGGACAAGCAGTAGGATTCAAGTGGTTGCAAGTGAAAACAGGAAAAGCAAAGTAAGTTACACATTTAAAATTGTAAAAAAATGCACCCTAAAACTTATTGCATACTGGCCCTACAACTGTTCTTATTCCAGCTATACCTCCAAGCAGGGAAGATCTTTTTTTTCCCCCCTAGGATCTCTGGTTTATGCTCTTGAGAGTGACATACCAGCCAAAATGCCTGAAAACTTTGCATCTTAAATAGCCTTCCTTTTAAGCGGAAATTCTTTGTTTCACATTCTCCTCTTCCACATAAAGTTACCTGGTCAGACCCTACCCCAGTTGGGGTGGTCACATGTCCAACCACTGCTTAAACTTAAAGGACAAAAGGAGGCTATTTACAGGTGATCACCAGACATTGAGGGAAACACCCTGGGTAGCTCTCATTTGCACATTTAAAACCATAAGCCATTCCCTATTCCATATCTCTGATTTTACATACAACAGTGATACAAACACCAAAATAAGATATACAGATCCAGCAGATTGAGACATTAAAAAAAACTTTAAAAATGACAAATAGTCCTGTAATACCTTAGAGACTAACAAATGTAGATGGTATCATGAGCTTTTGTAGGCATAACCCACTTCAGATAGCTCATGATATCATCTCCATTTTTGTTAGTCTCTCAGGTGCTGCAAGACTATTTGTTGTTTTAAAAGTTTTTTTTTTCAATTGCAGACTAACAGGGCTACCTCGCTGAAACTTTAAAATTCATAGGTTACATAAGGTATTGTGCCCAAAGCATCTTCGAGTTATGCATATTCGTATCCATAAGTCAATTTCATAAAGCAGGGGGTGGGAGAGTCTGTCACGACATGTTTCTGCTTTGTTTCATTACTGTGCACCAAAATGTAGCCCTATGGTCTTATTTCACATATTAGTTCTTTAATTGTTGCACCTGTATAGCATGCCTCACCAGTGTCATGATTTTAGCTAAAAATAATGCCCTTCAACATGTATATAGTCTCTCACTATGCCCATCTCTCATACATGGAGACCTTGATGCTACGTAGAAACCTGTTGCAACAAGACTGATCTTTCTTCTAGAAAGAAGCATGTTGGTGACATAGCTATCAGCTAGCTTTCAAATAACCTTTTTCTCACAGGGCAGCATGTAAGACCACCAGCATGCAGGATCCTGGCTTGAGTTTTCATGCTAATTGTGAGGTATTGTAAAAGACGTGAATGCACAGTATTGCTACCATAAAACTCAAATGGCATTGCCCATGTAGAAAGAGGCCTAGTCCACCCTGAATTTTTATAGTCAAAACACAGGAGGGCTGGGATTGAGGAAAAAATTACTGGATCACTCTGTAGCATTCTTATTAGAATAACCATCTTAGAAAATTACATATTTTATACTTACTGATGCTTTTTGTAGCTTGTTTTGTTATTTCCCTAGCATAGAATCTGAAATTTCTATTGACTAGCACTTAAAAACAAGCCTTGACCTGCTATTGCTGAGCTTGGCTAGCTGACAGTTCATGGCTCTAGCAGATGTTCCTGCTCTTTAAAGAAGTAGAAGCTTTATTGGTCGTTTCCTCCTCCCCACCCTCTTTCCTTTAAAGGACCAAATTCCAGTACACTTGAAAACTGGAAATACGCCATTGGGGTGTGAACAAAATACTGACTTGACATGTATCCAGCCTTGGAACGGTGGCAGAGGTTCTCCGATATGCGTGTCTAACATGATAGAAGTGTCAGTCTGAATCTTCATTCCAGTTACAAATTGGTTCTGGGGGTTTTCTTTTAATAGAATTTCAGTGCCAAAGAGATTACATTCAGGAAGCTTTATTATTGCTGTTCCTTATTGTCTGCTGAAGACAGACTTAAGGTTGGACCAATAATTCTTAAGCTGTGGGTCATGACCCCAGATTGAGTCACGAGCCTCTTTGAATAAAGTCATGGAGACTGGCTTATGCTTGGTGGGGGCTTGGGTCAAAGCCTGAGCTTCAATGTCCTGGGCCAAAGCTGAAGCCTGAGCCCAACTACCTGGACCCAAAGTCCAACAGCTTCAGCCGTGGGCAGCAAGGCTCAGGTTAGTCTGAAGCCTAGGTTTTGATATTGCTCCCCACCGCCTGGGGTGGTTGGGCTTAGGCTTAGTGGCTTCTCCCCAGACAGCAGAGTGAAGTTCTTTTGCAAAGAACGATTTAATGTATTAGTTGAGACTTACTCCAGCTGTCGTTACAAGTTGTACATTGCAGTGTCTCAGAGCAATTTGCTTATTTTATTTTTCATGCTTTCCACTCTTAAATTTTTTTTTAAAAATGCAATAAATAATAAATACTCCAGCTTATTTTGTCCAATGATCTTAAAGTCCCTTTCAAATGTAAAACTTTATTCATTAGCAACAGTCTGCTTGTGAAGTGTTATCTGAAGAGTATTATCTGGTTATATGGATGAGAGACTAAGGCCAAGTCTACACTAGACCTGGGAGCTCAGCTTAAAGTATGCAACTGCAGCTACATAGAATATGTAGTTGGCGTCGGCTTACCTTAAGAGAAGCTTAGCAGTGTCCCTACAGCGGGAGGCCAATGGGACCAAATGCCCCTGTCAGCTTCCTTTACTCATGGCAAGAACAGAAGTACTAGACACCAGCTGGAAAGTCCTCTGAGATCAATTTAGCGAGTCTTAATTAGACTTGCTAAATCACATTTCAGAAGATCGATTGTGGCAGTGTAAATCTTGTGTGGAGTGAAGACAAGCCCTGAAGCGCAGAGAAGTAAAGTCACTTGTCAGAAAGGAAGTCTGTGGCAGGAAGGAATAGTACCTAGTTCTCCTGATTCCTAGGCCTGTGCTTTTGCCCTAGGACCATGTTGTATTGCAAACCAGCTTTTCCTGCCTAAACTGAATGAAGAGTTATTTATATGATAATAGATGTTATCACTGTTAATCCTCACAAACCTTGCCAGTTATATCAAACTGTCATTCTCTAAACTTCCTGAAGTTCTGTGCATTTTCCTTTTGGGTTAGTTATAATGCTAACAGGCAAAAAACAAAATACAAACCTAAAATAGCCTCCATTTTTCTTTTCACTAGGATGTGCATGTTATGTTGAATTGTCCTGTCTTCTGAAGTATGAAGACATCACTGTGGTTAAAACTCTTACTAGACTCAGATGTGCCAGAAACTAACAGGTCAAAAGACAAGTAACCAGATTTAACTGCCTTCTCAAACTATTAAAGAGCCTGGGGAATGGCTTTCTGGTGTTTCAAGAGATTTTTTTTTTCTGCAGCCTGCCATTCATGGCAGTAAATCCCACTTGTCTAGTTGTGATTATTCTTCTCTTTATCAGCATCATCCTTGCGTTCAAAGTAAGTATGTGTATACAGATTTCATCTTCTGTATATGGAATGTTTTTGGAATAGCCTTCCCTCTTCCTCTGCAAAACAATTGTAGATTGTTGAGATAAAAAGGCTTTAATGACCAGTGGGATGTTACTTTCAGCTAACATGGATATGACTGCAAGAAAGAAGATGGTAGATAATTGAGCAGCTTAAAAAATATATATATAATATATATATGGAAGTGCTTTAGCCACCCACACATGATTTACTATGTTGTTAGATGTGAATACATGTGACATGTATGTAGTTGTCAAATACAGGCAGTCCCCGGGTTACGTACAAGATAGGGACTGTAGGTTTGTTCTTAAGTTGAATCTGTATGTAAGTTGGAACTGGCGTCCAGATTCAGCCGCTGCTGAAACTGACTGCCAGTTCTGACTTACATACAGAATCAACTTAAGAACCCCAGGCGTCCCCAAGTCAGCTGCTGCTGAAACTGATCAGCAGCTGATTCCAGGAAACCCAGGGCAGAGCAACTCTGCCTGGGGCTTCCTGTAGTCAGCGCTGGTCAGTT